TTATTTGTACATGTTGAAGTACCTGTGTAGCATGTATATTCATCCAATATGAGTTATTGTTACTCAGTAACCATTGAGTAAGAACAGAATTATACTTAGCCATCCATGCAAAGGTTTATGCTGAGTTGTATGGTATGTGTAAATGATTTGCTACTAGGTAAGAAAGATAACTTGGTGTGGGTTGTATACATGTAGTTTATCTGTAGAATGCCAGGACCCGGTTGTATCAAACTTTAATAAAGCTTTAATCGTTAATTAAACTATGATTAGTTAATCATTGATTATCTTCAGTTGCATGAAACCCTTAACAAAGGAATCCCTTCATTAATCCATCATTAAGCTAATGAAGGTTTGGGGGTAGCATTAACTCGTCATTAGCTGTATCAACATGGCATGGATCTCTACACTTTGAGCTTCTGAAAATAGATAGGATTTTGGGTTGACACAGGCCTGTATTTCCTCAAGCGCTTTTTATTTGATGTAATTACATTACGAGTTTTCGATGATAATTCCCTGAAATATTCTAAATTTTAAAGCATAATTAATAATAACAGCAGCGTCAAATGCTTCTGTCTGTTACTAACTTTGCTATATTTTTGCACAACCTTTTTAATATTGTCGCTTCTTAAATATTTGCATTGTGAGAAACATAATAGGAAGCGTATGCAAAGTGTAACGGGATGGGTTCCATGTACAAAAATAGTAACAGGGGGACTTCACGCTTGTGAGAAAAGAGTGAACGGCCTTCACATTGATTTGGATATTCGTTGAAAGAGGACGCACGTTATGTACAGCGGGTGAAATGTGATTGAATAAAGTTCAACTGCATTGTACAGAAGGTAAGAATATGAAATGAAACTGTCCGCAATTTCGACATTATGTTTTGAAGTCGCAAGCTAGCCTATGTCTTCGTCTACTTGCTATTTTGTTTTAATACTTGCATCGACATACAAAATCCATACTAACATCAATCAAAATTAAAATTAATGATCTTAATTATCAGTTTGTAGAACTATTTACCTTGCAAGGGAACAGGAGATTCCACTCCGGCCACACCGTTGAAACATGCGGAATCCGAATAAATATCCATGATTTTCTCGATGGAAGAGGAAACAGGCTTGGGACATGGACCGCCACCTGTTTTTTTCGTTTGAAGTTTTCTACCTGAAAACTCTTTTTTTGCATTTTGAAACATATTATTCCATTTTGTCTTGATTTCTTTGGACGTCCTATTGCTTACCCCAAGGCTATTGATCTCGGCCGTTATTTTGTCCCATATCTGCTTCTTTTTGTCATTAGTTATGGAGTTGGTAAGTTTGCTGTTTAGCACACCGATATGATCTTCAGCTAGATCTGTTAGAAGTTGTATTTCACAACTTTCAAAGTTTTTGCTGCGATTTCTGAGGGCAGCCATGATGCAGACGACCGATGAGTGTTTACATGCAATGCATCATGGATAATAATTAGGGGATTCCCCTAAGTTAATCATGGTTTAATGACGGGACCTTTATTAGAGGCATACTTAGTTAATGGGTGTTTAAATAAGGGTAAATACAACCGTATTTAAACACTTCATTAACTAATCAAACATTAAGTATTTAATCAATGATTAGTGTTTAATTGATGATTACATAATTACGTGTTGATACAACCGGGTCCAGATCATTGAACTAAGGGAGATAACTGTGTATGATGTACCTGCCTGTAAGTAATCAGTGAGCGTCAGGTTATTGAACTAAGGGAGACAATCCATCTATTTCTGTTGTAATGTAAATTTGCTGTAAATCTGCGTCGCACATTGACGCCATCTTATTGGGGTGAAGCATAAATTGACGCTGGAACTAAATCATGCTGTTGTCTGTTTTCAGCCATTTTGATGGCAACGACCAACACCAGGGGTGCAACAAATAGCATGTTCTAAAAATGCCAATCAAACATCTACATCAATTTAGTACACAAACATTGATATTGACTAGAATTGGGACGGTTGGAAGACAAGTTATTCATTGAGTTTGTTGTTAATACTTTGACATCTTCACATGCATCTAAAGACAACACAAGACTGACTGACTGACTGAGTTTGGTTTTACGCCGCTTTTAGTAATATTCCAGCAACATCACGGCGGGGGACACCAGAAATGGGCCTCACACATTGTGCCCATGTGGGGATTCGAACCCGGGTCTTCGGCGTGACGAGCCAACGCTTTAACCATTAGGCTACCCCACCGCCCCAGACAACACAAGAGCGTGCATGTGTTTTCTGGCTGTACTCTCTCAGCAAAACTCCTACAGAAGTGACATGCAAGATCTAGATCATAAATAGAACTTACTATTTTCGTTAGGACTTATCATAATGCCTGGAACTTCTGTTGGATATTGCAAATACATATAATACTAGTTAGAACAAATGAGTGGCGAACCCTGTTTGTTGTAAAAGTCGACATACGCAGCTAGCGTACAGAAGATTATGATGAATATTCCGAAAAAAGTATGTGAATAGGATCACTAAAAAATGGTTTTGCCTTTTTTTGAAATTTGCTGCTCATGATGTAGGAGTGGATTTTTTTAAGCTGGGCCCCGTCTCGCATATCGCAATATACGAGCCGGTACAGACCAAAGAGACGATGGCTGGGAAGGCCTACGAAAAACTAACATTAACATTGTTATGTCATTTTCCTTTGGTTGCTATTTTTAGACGGCCGCGCTGTCCTTCATCGGAAGACGTCCAAAACACATTTTGTATCGGTTTTTTAAATTCGGTCAAGCAGGCGCTTAAAAGGCTTTTGAAAACTTAAATTGTTCTTATTTCTTGGAAACTTCTTTTTCAAAATTCGTATTTGTATTCGTATTCGTTATTTTACGTATTTGATGTCAATATTCACGAGAAATAATAGTAAACGTAAATATTCGTTTTATTTGCGTGAATGGATTGTTGCGTTTCAAATACACACCCAAATTTCCCTATTCGACAAAGATTTGTATTATTAGCTTGTCAGAAAACTGTGAGCGAAAACATCATCTCTGATATATGAACGAGATAAATATGTAGATAATTATTCATGTCGACATCGTACGAGCCATGCATACAAATTAAATCTGGTATTGCCAATATTCCGAACTTTCCTCGCGGATGACGTTAGAAAGGCATGCATGTTTTAGAGCGGGTAGGTTCCCAAACATTGGCACAAAATCAGAAGTAAGTCGGAAATGATTTTATAATATTTTGTGGAGATATATAAGTATTGAATTACTAACTTAGAGAGTGCTGAATTTGTCCTGTAGACACTTTAGTACAGCAACAAGAAATATTTTTATGCGATGCATCAACACTGCGGTAAACTCTTTGTTCATCAATTTTCACCAAATATTAAATCAACATTGGTAGGATTTTTAAGCAATATGATCTTGTCTTCAAAACAAAGTGATTATATCAAATGTGAGCAATATAGATCAGGTCAGAAAACGAAGGCGGAGCAAACTGTACTTGTTTAAAATGTAAACAAATCATCACAATTCAGATCTTACACTGTGTAGCTTTTAGACTTATGAACGTTTGATAATTAGTTGGTTTGAACATACTTTTTGCAGGAAATCGACAATGTTAGTGTTCCATACAAAATCTCGTACCTTTAGACAAGTGTCAGCAGATCTAAATGTATTCTACATCTGAACATAATGTAATAGTCGGAGGACCGTAGATCCAATGCAACGTTCACTTTTCAGATGCTATGAAAATGTGCATCACAAAATATTTCAGCATCCAGTGGTTGTATTATTTTCAGTAATTTCATTACATTTGAAGATATGGCTAGTACTCTATTACTAATGATGCAAAATTAGTCAAAATACATCTACACCAATAGGAGAATATGGAATCTAAGAACTAAATTACATATTGGATAGGGCCGTCCTAATGGCTGTTACTTGCTTTCTCCTGTAGTGCGTTGTCATCTTTTCTTATAAATTGTGAAACTACCAAAATGTATCTGCTCACATTGGGGAACTTTGTATTGGAATAGTTTGGTTCATGGTGAACAAAACATAACGAAAATAACAAATTCTCTCAAAGTATTCTGAATTCATTGACCTAGTGGTAAGCATATCGGAGTTATGCCCCCTTTTCTTATACGTGTATGGCCTCTCTGTCGTCGTTTTACATCATAGAACAAAATTCATAATCGACATTCATTGCGAGTCATTTTTAAGATCGAGTGTATAACGACAGTCCGGGAAAAGAGAGGTGATGTTCTACATGAGTGACTTCACTCCCAGTGTTCTCGAAATTAACAAACCAATTAAAACAGAGTGATATATATATAGTAGAAAATATTATTCAGTCAATATAACAACATGCATGTATCATATGTCACACAATATAACATATTTGCATATATATTTCATAAAGCTCACACAATATATTTGTGTGTGTTTTATATAAATAAGTGATTTCTGCAGGTGTATAAGTAATAAATATATAAAAGATGAGTCCAGTTAGTTCTTCTTGCCAAAACTCCTTTATATGTGCACTAAAGTAATCTGAATGTTCAGCCAAGATGAAGGAACTCTGACACATGGTCTGTGTAATTCAAATCAGTAAGTCTGTCGGCAAGAAGGTCGGCCTTCAAGGATCGAATCCTAGCGTCGATGATTCGGTAGCGACGTCTACGGACGGGATATCTCTGCTGTCCTTGGATCTGCTGAATTTTTACTTCAGTAGACGACTGTTCTTTTTGTAGCGTTCGCACAACCTCAAATAAATTCGGATGTGTCTTCATGGCATACTTGTTGATTTTGTTGTGCCAACCTTCCAAATTATTGTTAGTTCTGTGTCCATCATTTTCAAAATGATTCCAAGTAGGCAGTGTCCATGGACCTTCTACCCAGGTGGTAGTAACGTAATCCATCAGCTGTGTCGCCTTTTCACCTAGTGGCGCGTCTGCAATGGCATCAAGCCAGACATCTTCAACTTTATCCAGAGGCACTAAAGGTAGAGCTGCAGCTCAACGAACTAGTCTTTTCACATTGTTGTCTGACTTGTACTCTGAAGCAAGGCCTACTTTCTGTGTGCGACGCCAGAAGCACTGGGTGTAATGAAAGAATCGGCCACGAAGCTGAGTATTTGGAAATACAATACTGGAGGCGTTGTGAGATGCACGTTCAAAGTCCAACTGAAACACATCAGGAGAAAGCTGAAGTCCCTGAGTCGCTGCAGTCTGTTTCAGATAGTCAAACACACTTGTGTAGGTCGCTTCAGTTCTGTTTGGCAAGAGTCCATATATCAGGGGTAGCATGTGGCCTTGGTATTCAGCATGGATCGAGTAGATTTGGTCAAAGAGTCGAGGTGAAGACGAGAATGTACCATCTGCAAAGATCACATCTGCTGCAGAGAGAAGCTCCATATTCTTGCTGGTGAAGAAGAGCAAAATGTTGCCATCATCTAGTCGGCGAAGAAGGTCATCTGCTTCAGTCGTTGTCCACTCATTCTCTAGATTGATGTCTGCAAGGGTCTGTGGAAGCTTAAGGACGGTCTTATGTCTTTGTCGATACATGCTGGTTCTCATGGAGTCAAACACAGGAATGTGTTGGAGAAGGGCGTCCGGAGCAGCTGCTGGATTCTTTCTCAAGTTGCTGACTTCTTCATGGTAGATCTGGGGATAGGCGTAGTGTTGTCAGTCTTTGCACGATGATGGAGCTTTGACTTGAACGCATCGACTTCAGTAAAAAACGGAATACCAGGATGCATGTGACCTTGACCGACCATATTCAGCAAGTTTTTTTCTGTAACCAGATATGATGGACAGGTTGCATCTGTACATCTCCAGTATGTTTTCTGAGCTCTGCGTCTGTTGACTCTGTACTTGAATCCATTGTGGTAAAGATTCTGACCTCTATGAATGTTGTCAATCAATGTAACCCGCACCATAGCATTTGCCATTTTGACAGTGGTAACAAAATATTCATGATCTATGATATATACCCAAAAGCTAAATGTTTACAACAGCATTTTAATAATCCTTCTCTCCCAATATCACAAAATAATTTGTAAGCTCTCTGTTTCTTTCCGGATGTTGTTGCATGTTAAACTCCAAAATGGTAATCCTTCCACTCGCATAACGTAAAATAATAGTCTGTTTTTGCAACCTTAATTCTCTTGCAAATTGTTAAAAAGACATTCTCTTTAATCAATTTAATTCATTTACTGATGATACGAGCATAGCTGTAGCCACCATAGCCACTTGTAAACCACTAAGCAAACATTCTCTTTCATTAATGAACACCGTCACGGTATGTTGACCACGCGGTGTCGACACTCCGGTTTTTTTGTTTTGTCGACGGTTAGGAACATCCTATTTTTTCATTTGTCGACAGATCGGTCTGACACCCAGAGGTACTATGCTGGCTGGCCGCATGGAACTCTGGGTAGGAGAGTGGCCTATACCTGGCTCCTAGCTTTGTCGCAAGGTGGCGCGCGCATAAGGAGCCGGGAACCAGCTTATGGAGTTTTTGTAATCAAACGTCACGTGGTGGTTGCTAGCAGTGACAAGCTGGCGCTGGCCATAAATTGAATTAGCTAAATTCGCTTATCGTATTACAAATAATATGAATAAATCATAATATATACAGGCAGGCAACTACAATGTCCTTGTGACCATATATATATGTTCTATGGAGTTGTGTTCCTGTGCACACGTTCCTGTCTGTGATGTCCGAGCGATAATTATTAAACATTCCTATCTGTAACATGTCATCGTGTTCGAATTGCGTAGATCGATGCTCATGCTGTTGATCGCAGGGTTGCCTGCTCCAGAATTAATTACATAATTACTATTTTTTCTGAGTGAGGCGTAAAGCTAAACTCACTTACTCACTAATCTATCTGCAACGTCCCTGTAACTGCATTTGGACGTCCCTGGATGTAATGCCCCAGTGATTATATGAACGTCCTAAGAAGTAATCCAATAAAGAACGTGGTTTCCGGAGTACCGAGTTTTGACTTTGCAGGGTTCTGGGCGTGAGAGGGTTTTTGAAGGATCGGAAATCTAATCTGCATTGGTGCAGATGCGAAATAACATTTGCGGTGACACAACTTTATTTCATTATCCATACCTACTGAGCACGTTGAGACCTTTTCTTGTCGATGGTGGAGGCCTAATGTCACGTGCCTCCAGGGTGAGTTCGTCTCACCCATGGATACCACCAACGAAATTTCTCATCGTAAGAGTCGATGACAAGGATGGGATAACTCGATTGATTGCGTTACATCATAACCCGACGGCGAAGGACGCTCCAGATTATATCAATACATGTTTATGGAATGTCAAGAATTCCAATAGTTTTCACAGGAGAAGTGTTGCCACGAATTAATGGTACCTTATCTCAATACTAGAGCTTTACAAATCTATCAACACATTGTCCAAATTATGTTCACTTGTACGATGTTGTTTTTGTCAACAAGAACTATGCTATTTCTGCTTATCAAAGAGAGAGTGGGTTCAATATTATAACACCACACAAATACCGTTTCTTGTCAATTGTAAAAGTGTCATCCAACCAAAGGATATTAATCCAATAATCCCCAACGTTTTATATATTGCTAATTTTCAAATATAGTTTAACCATTTAGTTGTAATGAACACCGTTGGGAGTTGTTTTCAGGTTATGTGTAGAGAATGTCCCTGCACCGCACAGTGGGGGCGAAGGTCATAGGGTATATTTTTTTTTAAAAAGTGACATCTTCCTTGTAAATTCATATTAACTCCTGAGATATGTCGTATAAGAAATTCTATTTCAAGTAGTGCATGGTACATTAAAAGTCAACTAGAAAGTCAATTCAATCACCATTTCCGCAGTTTAAAACAATTTGATAGCTAAATCATTGTAACAAGGCACGTATGTACAATTGTTTTAAATGAATTATTTAATACCAAATACTTTTGTTATTCCATTGCAAGGAAAGAGTTTGATAACAACATTGAAAACAATAAAAACTTCAAAATACTGATATAATCGGACACTCGTGTGAGTGAACATAATTTTGCAACATTATTTTGCATATTTCCTGTCCAATGGAAAGCTTCAAAGCAGTGCATGTGAAGACTAAGACAACGTGCCTTGCTTGTTTTACGTGTGTTCTTTCCACAACGTGCGCACCTTCGCTGTAAGCATATCTGCCTGATAGTGGCCCTTGCCATCAGTGCGTACGGTGAGTGGAACACTTCTGTGGGTAGAACAGACTCTCGCAAATAGACGTCCAATGGATCTTTGTTGTCGGTAAGACAAGAACAGAAGAACAATCTCTATTCGAAAGGCAAAGAGGTCGAGCTGCCTTAATCTTTCACTCTTCGACAGTCGATAGAAGAGCCATATCTTCTGAACAACTACATTCAGCATTTTGGCAAAATATGCCCACCAGCATTTTTTTGAGTAAATGGATATCCTCTATGCAGCTATATTGATCCCTTCTGTCGACTCCACCCATGAACTGATTTTAAAATTTGACGATTCGAAGTTGGTTGGTGTCAACCCTCCTTCCTTGACAATCTGGTAACTTGACCTGAAGGATTCACTCCAACAGCATTGGACGCCAACATCACAGCATTGTTGTCATTCCAGACCGCAATCAGGTGGTGTCAAAGGCATATTCAACAGCTCCTCGTGGCAATTTCTTCATTTCCTCCGAGCTCATGACTGGACATTTTTCAACTCTGCCCTCCTGCACTGTACCAGTTCCTGCACCACCCATTTCAGAAAGCCAATCCAGTAGTTTCAGTGAGGTGACGAAATTGTCAAGTATGACATCGTAAAGACGTCATTGGGGTAACTCAAGACAGAAGATCATCGATGACAGAACCTCCTAATCCTAGTCCTGGAATACTTGTGCTATCTGCACCATATCCCGGGTGTAGCAAGAACCCAGAACTTGAATCTACATCGAACAGGCTTTGACTTATGAACTGTTTAGCAGAGTGGCGACCATAACAGGGAACCTCTGCTTCATCAGCAGATGAATAATGAAGATTAGGAGCTTATATCGTGGACATCATCGGTCGGACCTTTCCAAACTTAATCATGGTTAGGCAAATTCTGGTTGTCGGCAACGTGAAGGTAACGAAAGATATCTATCACCAAACCTAGTTCGAGATACTGCAGATGAAACAGCTTCATTGTGACAGTCCTTATTTTGTTCTCAGTACATGCTTCGTCTGGGTAAAACTGTATAACCAGATATGAGAAGAATTGCAACGAACAGCTTCATCTCTTCTTTGTCTGTTTTGAACGTACGATTTCCTTTATCCCTTGAGGCGTAAAACCTTCTCATTTCAACAAGCATGCTTATTACATCCTCGTCACAAAACAGATTAAGAGTAACGTTTAGTGTTGTATCGTCACGAAGGAAAGGCTGAACTTGTGCATTTTGCCACTGACACTGGTTTGGAAGTTCTTCCGGTAAACCATTCTTAACTCGCCCCGTTCTAAGTTTGGGGTTCTAGCTTTCAATACCCATTGTCTAGGGTTATGGACTATCTGTGGAAGTTCACTTTCATCCGAGGATATTTCGTTGTCAGAAGAATCAATGCCAAGATGCAATCCTGGCCATGGCTTATGCTCGCAACTGGGCCCCTGTCAGGTTGTCAACCGTTCATCATCCTCGCCGCAGTCATCGTCAGACTCTGCACTATTACTTAAGATGTGTGATATATACTACAACAAAAAATATGGGGACACCATAAAATTTAAGCTGCATGGGAAGTTTGTCTTCCACAAGCACTAAGCTGTTGTGTTAGGGCGTTTGAATCAAACATGGTGCTGGTGTTTCAGCATCCTTGTTTTTCGCTGTTTTAACAATGTTTTATTTCACTCAAACTCAACGAATATTGAATCAGTTGCTTCACTGCATGTTCCAACATGTTTAAAAGTGCCCATTAAGCACACAAACAGTTGCATTTACCTTAAAGTATAAATGACCTCACCACGTTTCAATTTACGTATGACTATCAAATTTTGTTTGTAGTATATATAGCAGCTGCAGCACAATCGTCTTCCTCAATGATGCTGGCAACATCAATGCACACTGTAAATTCTGTAAACAAAGATTGCACATTACTCACGGAGTTTCACAACTACTTCGTTCAAATTACTTGTTTTAAAAATTCAGTGCCATACGTCTGACTGGCAATAAACATTTAAGAAGAAATTATAACGTAAATTGTTTTTGAGGTCATGTAATCACTAAAAAGATCAGAGTTTCTTTCAACTGTTACTTGATATCTGTACATGAAAACCCTGTTGACCTTCAATACTATGCACCCGATCAGGGTCCGCTTAGGAATCATTGCAAAACCATATATATTTAATCATTCTTGCACACATACGGTATTGTTCAAGTAAAATGCACACAAGAGAAAATATACATTCAAAACTTAGACATTTAAACAGGATATTACTCCACATTTAACACTGACCTTGCTGCACGTCTCAACACCGCTGCCATTTTAGTCTCTCACATTTGGCCAAAGTTCCTGACACCAACTCCAGGGGAATAACTCCCAAACTACTACTACATTATAAGTTGTTCACTGGTCACGAGGGGAGCATGGGCTGATGTACCCTCCATGTTTGTTTATGTTCCCTGAGCCCGAAGGCCGAGGGGTACATAAAGAAACATCGTGGGTACATCAACCCATGAGCCCCGAGGGACCAGTGAACAACGTATTTATCTTACCGAACACCTTAATGTTAATTTTGAGTTGTTTGAAGCACGGTACAAATCTTTTTATAGACATCGCTAGATTTTGCTGACAAGAAAAACAGATTGAGAGTTATCTCCCTTCCATCGATTTGCATTCGCAAAACATCGGTAATTTCCGTACATCATACGTGATTCAATGTAATTCGAGATAAAGAATTACCACCACGAAGTACCAAATGAGTTGCCATTGACAGCGGGGTACATAGAAATGTTATTCGCTTGTAAGCGGGGTACATTGAACATAATAGAAGAGCGTTCAGCCAATCAGAAAGCGACATTTTTGTGTGAGGTAAGATAGTATTGCATACCACAATCTATATATCAGCTCCGCAATATCTGTCAAAAAAATATTTGTAAGTGATTGTTTAGGGTAACTTTGCACCCCACTGGCGTGCATGGGGGCTAATGGGTTAAAGAGGACATACAAATCTTCAATACTCATGTTTAATTTCTTACAGTTCATACGCGATAGTGCACTTGAGAAAATCTGGTAGTATTTCTTGTACTTTTTTTATATACACCACGTTTCGTAATACGAAACGAATTGCGACATGATGTAACATAGGGCGAGCACGCATTCAACCACTCCTGGCATATCTAGTTTTGGTAAACTGTTCACCCCGGTGGGAGATATGTATCGAACACTTCAACTGACAATATCATAACAAAACGTATCTTTGAGAATAACCATAATATTGTCCAGTGTTTTAGAATTTAGATTGGCTTGAGTATTTTAAATATTGGCTAGCATAACCGGCAGCTACAGATAGCCAAAGGGATGGCGTAAATCCTGCTGGGAAATCATGTAGGAAGCAAAAGCATTGTAAGTCCCCTTGATCCCCAGTAAGGTGGTCAAACTTTGGTTGTTAGTGGTTTATAGCCAGGTTGTAATAGGTAAGAATTAATCTATTGAATCTACTGTCAGGTTGGTTTTATTTTAAAACTGTTATATACCCCCAACCTCTTTTACTGTCCGACAGGTATTTTAAAGTGATTACCTTGTTTTTATCGCTATATGGCTGTAATATTGCCGACGCGATGTAAAATTTGAACTCACTCACTCACTCACTTTGAGAATAACAATGGTGATTTCCATTTCACCAAATTTCCGAACTGGCTCAGATTTTGAGAGTTGTTGAGAAATAAGGGGGTTACACATTTACTTGGCACGCCATTATGCCGGGTTAGTTTTCCATAATGGAATGCTATGATAACCAATCTACAGGAATCATACTAAAAGGGAAGGACATACGTTTGCTCTTACTCACTATTTGACTATAAATTGATCTTGATTTGATTTGGGTCTCAAGAGGGTACATGTCAACATATCTATATATTTAACCACTGACGAACGTTATTTGAGACGAACGTTTCCCTGGAGATGACTTCAAACACCGCCTTTACTCATCCATCTGATAAGGGGTTGTCAGTAGCAATGATGTAGGGCCAAGAGTAATGCAGACCTTAGATGTTACCAATTTGCTTAAAACTGAAAACATGATCATATGAAATCAGGATTCGAACCCACGATCACAGCTTTCTAACACGCCTAAATGACGCGACTTAGCACAGCTTATGTTGTGCTCGCTAAATATTAATTTATGTAATCCAAAAGCCGTTGAAAGAGAAAAGGAACCATCAATGAGATTATATTATTCGGTTGCTCAGTGACATCCTGTAACTTCTTGTTCTTTAAGCCGCATCGCCCATATCCGTGAAACCCTACATCCCTCGCATTACGCCATCCGAGATGCTAGCATTGCTAGGAGTGTCTTCGGGAGGCTTACAAGCTTCAAATGGTGTACGTCTGCCCACAGGCAAACTAGCGCAAACAGGATTGCGCAACAAAGAGAAAAGTTACCAGCCTTTCCGTTGAACCGGAAGCCGACGAGGGTAATGGAGGCGAAGAACGATTTCATATGCCACGAGTGGCGCTTAAAATGTTGAATTAAATACATTGTACGTGAGTAATTATTAAACATGAGGTTGTAAATCTGAGAGCACAGCCTTGTGAGGAAATGGATGTCCACCTTTGAATAAAATTATTTTTCGAACAGATACGGGGGAAGCACGTTGCCAACCTTTGCTCGCTTCGCTCGCACATAGGAAGACTGGTCATTTTCTCTTTCTTGCGCGACCCTATTTGCGCTACAGTTTGCCTGTGCTCTGCCCACACAACCCTAGACATTTTCAACATCATGTCCGTTATAACGCGTTTTCGGACCAAAACGTATGGAGTGGATTACCACTATATTTTATGATATGATGTCTCTGGAAGAGGGTCGGTGGGGTAGCTTTGTGGTAAAATGTGTGAAACCCGTTTCTGGTGTTCGCTGTCGTGATGTTGCCAAAAGCGACGTAAAACTAAGCTCAATTACTCACTCTTGACAGATGCTGTCCCTGTTATCAATCCGTATCGGTTTGGAGGACTTCTCACATCTTGACCAATAAATATTTTATATTAGTTCAGTCTCCTATTCTCGCGGGTTTCTTATTCTCGTGCTTATCACGTTTTCTGCCGATATCGCAGATGCGCGAAACCGAGCGGTTGTTAACCTTGCCGACCGGTACTAGGAAATGGCCCAAGTCTGCGAGTGATCAAAATATTGCAATGTCACGAATATCGGTGTGTTTATTACAAACTTAGACGTATCATACCTTTAACCCGCCCTTTCCGACAGGATTGTTCTTCCATACACTCCATAGCGTTACTTCTCGTTATACCGAGAGAATAGGAGAGACCTCATTTCGTCAATGGCATTCATACGATAAGAATTGTTTGTGTCACGTTTTAACCAATACCCGTAAGTACCGCGAGAATAGGAAACGCCATCCTATTCAGGCTGCGCAATATATCCGGTTTATCGGTATTTACCGGTTCAGACATGAAAACGATACGTATTGCGATACGCTGATCGAAAACCGGTATTTTGACATGCATTCGGAAAACTTCGTAACATTCGGAAGTCTGGGGATATTTCCGTTTCTCACACAGTGTTGTAAACTGACGAGCAACGAACAATTTATTGTAGTGCCAAATAGTTGGGCAGCGGCTTCAGTATGGCAGCATTTGGGGTTGAACCACTGTGTTGATGTTCAATTGTTATTTTCCTTGTTTCATCTGTGCCATACATTTTAATTTTGTAATGATTAAAAGTTTTTAGAAAAACTTAATCAAGCATAGTGATTTTGTTGTCTTTTTTGCTTTATAAATCAAGAATTAACTCGATTATAAGTAGTTTGGGTTTTTTAAAAAAAAAACCCTTCTTGCAATATATTGCAAAACATATCGCAAATATGCTTTCGCATCGCTATATATCGCATTATGAAAATTCTCTGCAATACCCACCCCTACTTCCTATATATAGAAATAGTCACAGTGAGTATTTCGCGACCAATAAAATGATGTGTGAAGGAATACTCACATTGAATAAATTTTGACAAGAGGTAAGCTATGAATACACAATGCCATATAGAAAGTGGTCAAATGTAACACATGTTATATTTGGGATTACACTTTCTCAGTAAAGTACAGAGTCTAGTACTTTAGTTGGGTTGAGTCCCATCCAGGATTCGAACCCACACCTTCAGAGTCAGGGACTTAATGAAATCCCAACTATGTCTGGCGGAGTGTTCACTTCCGTGTGTCCGTGAAATCCTCACATCGAGCTTACAAGCCTTGGTGAAATAACACTACCATACAAAGCGGCGTTAAACCTAACACACTCCGCTATCACTCTGTAAAGAAGCAGTGATCACTGTGTTAAGGATTTAGAGAGAGCACATCCACACGGGGGACGATGGTACTGTCCTGTGGTTATAGCGTCAGCTCGTCTCGCCTAAGATCGGGATCGATTCCCCACATGGGAACAATGTATGACGGCCATTTCTGCGGAGGAAATAACAGGAAGCTGTGGACATGACGAGGCGCGCGGAATTACGTGGCACCTGCTGTTTGTCAGGATGGCGATTACTTGTACAGTTACTCGGGAGTAAAGATATGAATATTAATATGATATTAATCTCCTTACGGAGACATGTATATCCGTATACATGCAAATGACGCCTGGAGTAGCACACAAACTGTCGCCCTTGAGCACAATCGATCGTGACTGTAACTCTTGTTCTTCTAAGTAAGTCGGTGATGTCTTGTGTCGGAAATGTCTGGTATCAAATAACTGGTGGGTAATTAACAGTCATCACGAAAATAGCATCTATTAATGACTCAGATAAGATAGAAATGAAACAAATTAAAACATCCTGCCACCTCTTGGCATTTGCTTGCTTGTCAATGTGCCAGGTCTAGTAATGCGTTAATAGAACATGGCTTTTTTTCTTTTAGTGCTGATGCATTTCTCTTAATGTGTTGTTTTGTTTTATTTTTTGGGGGGAGGTTCTTTTTTGGAGGGGGTGTTTGTTTTATAAGGGGGTGTTTGTTTCATGTTTCCTGAATCACATTTTGTCCTTTCTCATTTCAGTCTATTATGGAATATTTAGTTTTTCATGTAGTTTAGATAAGCTTTTCATATTAAATTATCATTTCACAACATTACACGATAAGTTACAACACCCGCCATTGTAGATTTGCTTTCATGTTACAGTACTTGTATTTGATTGCGTATATAACCTAGTTCGCTGCTAGGTACATGTGTACTTTCAATAACGTATGTGCATAACTTATGAATCACGTAAACATACCTCATGCTGTATAAAACATAGGTACCACTTTATATACACGTAGCATATTTCCTCTCTTAGAACCTACACCGTACATGATAATAATGCTTACTACGTAAATACAACCAGTGAAGAACCGGGTTAGAATTCATCTTCAGCAACCATTGTTTGTCGTAAGAAGCATCTAACGGGATAGGCTGTCTGGGCTCGCTGCCTTCATGCATGTCAGCATATTCCAATAAGCGTTGAGCGACCGCCTCCGTGGTGTAGTGGTTAGAGCGTCCGCCCAGAGAGCGGAAGGCCGCGGGTTCGATCCCCGACCGCGTCATACCCAAAATACCTTAAAATATGGTACTTGTTGGTCCCTGCCTTGCGCTCGGCTTTAATGGGTACAACAAGGACTGGTCGGCTCGGAGTCAGTATACTGTGTCTGAGTGGGGTATTCATGCTTCACTGCTGCATGGTATCTCAGTGGGCTAGCACTATAAAACCAGCTAAAGTCTGGGCTAGTACAAGCAGCCGCACATACACATACACACGCATGCACGTCGTCATATGAGCGAAATATTCTCAAGCACGACGTTAAACCCAATTTCACCTCACCAATTGCGTTGATCGATGCTCATGATCTTAATCACTAGATTGTCTGGCCCAGACTCCATTACATACAGCCCTTCCGTATACAGCTGGTAAATTGCGGAGTAAGACATTAAACAATAACAAAATACACAATTATTATTTCGGCTGCTGTTACCATCAATGCTACAATTATTGCTACCAGAGCCTTTTATGGAATATACATAAAACCGTTTTAGACAAATGCTCGTCATGACACCATGTTATCGTGATATCCACAGATTTGGGGGCTGATGCCGTAACCGTCCGTGTACTTGAAGGTCCTTGGGGCGACTTATACGATCGGTTGCTGATGTGTAAATCCGTATTCATATAGTCAGCTAGATGCGACCTTTGTCATCAGCCTAGACAATGAACGGATTCTAACTGAAGAGACGCTGTTTTGTTTCTATTCGCAGGTTATACTCCTGCCATGAAGCACATACTTGGTGAACATTTTATTGTCGGTAATCTGTGCTCGTAGTGTTCAGAATTCGTCCCAAATAAATTATAGTGTTTCTATTAGATGTCTGTAGATTTTATTGTGTGGGTGAGTGAGTATGGTTTTACGCCGCTTTTAGCAATATTCCAGCAATATCACGGCGGGGGACACCAGAAATGGGCTTCAGAGATTGTACCCTTGTGGGGAATCGAACCCGGGTATTCGACGTGTATTGCCGTCAAAGCATGCAGGTGTATATATAGATAGATAGATAGATAGATAGATAGATAGATAGATAATAGATAGATAGATAGATAGATAGATAGATAGATAGATAGATATCCGCTGTAAACAACAATTAATGGTTATTAGCCAAACATGAAAATCTGTTCAGTAGACATTGACAACGGATACGTTGTACAGTCACTTTCATCTCAGTAACTAAAATTTGCCTCGAACTCAAATAAACCAAAATAAAATTAACAAACATTTTCTTGATTTATATATGTTCTTTGAAGATGTTCCTAATAATAATGTTTAATAATTTGCCATGTGTTCTGATGTCGCCAGAAAATCTGAATTTCATAGTATTTCTATCGCGATGTGTAATGATAAAAAGAGTTTAACTAGCGGGTTTTCGGTCTCATTAGCAGAGAGTTGTCTCCCTCAGCAGATCAGTTGAAACAGTCTGAGCATGGTCAGTGTCAGCCATTAAAGGAACACTGAAAGGTCCTTCTTATTCGTGTCATATTCCAGGATTTCTTTTTGGATGTCTAGTGTTTGTTTACACAACAATGCAAACAAGGGAGATTACTCTTGACGGTATGGTGTTACTAGGGACGCGCGTGGTCCAGTTTAACACAGAAAAATATACCTACGGCACGTGACCGGTTTTGACCAATGGGAAGCCGACATTGCTGTGCAAGTCGAGATAATAAAGCCATTTCACCCGCCAATATCTTAAAAGATATTTTTGATGACATTTCCTTGTAATGTAATGATTATACTGTTTTATAGGAGAAATTGCATGCGACGGTTAAACGTGGGCGTTTTTGTATCATACTATTAGTAAGCTTAAGCATACGAGGTCATGAGAAATTAGTTTGTTTTTGTGTTTTTATGTAATAATGTAATCAATTTAAAGAACAAAGAAAAATGAAACAACATATTTGATTAAGCTCTGCAGTGGTTTATATCAAGGTGACATAGGGCCAGAAGCACGGTGCAGAAGACCAGAATAACTCAGTTTGAAGAGGCACTCTCCTAAATTCGAGTGTGCATTACGGATATTTACACTGTTTTAGTTGAGTACAACGCTGTTTTACACAGTCTTGAGGAATGTTAAATCTTTTCAAGATATATTTTTTTTCATGAAAAAACGGATTCAATCAGAAATGTTACTGTAAATTACTTGTGTTTGCTGACTGTTGGTCTGTCGGTAACGATCAGAATCATGGACATATCAGAGACAGCCCTTGAGCACGGATTTTAATGCCGCTTTGAACAGTATCTTGAGGTGAGGTGAAATTGGGTTTAACGTCGTGCTTGAGAATATTTCGCTGATATGACGACGTGCATGCGTGTGTATGTGTGTGTGCGGCTGCTTGTACTAGCCCAGACTGAAGCTGGTTTTATAGTGCTAGCCAACTGAGAAACCATGCAGCAGTGAAGCATGAATACCCCACTCAGACACATTATACTGACTCCGAGCCGACCAATCAATGTTGTACCCATTAAAGCCGAGCGCCAGGCAGGAACCAACAAGTACCACATTTTAAGGTCTTTTGGTATGACGCGGTCGGGGATCGAACCCGCGACCTTCCGCTCTCCTGACAAAACCATAAGCATGTATATAAAGAGCTCTATCCAACAGAGATGATACCATGTATTTGCAGAAAGGAGGCGTATCCTGCATTCCTCCGGTGGCACTGTCATAAACACTTGATAAGGCCAGTCACTTATGTATGTGTTCATGTGCTTGAAACTTAAACTACCAGCGGTGAACTTTGAACATGTATATTTAACCATCAGTCAAGACTCATTGACAAGGTTATTTTGTTTAAAAGTAAACTGTTTAAATGAAGCCAGTCGTAAGAAATGAATTTTCTTCCATATGTTCCCCCACTATGGTTGAAATGTAAATTCTACAGAACAAAACACACATATATATTGATTCTTAAAAACAACAACCGATGTTTAAGATACATATCAACAATTGCGTTTCATGCAAAATACAACTTTTTGGAAAAAATAGATTGATAACCAAGCGGAAGTACATTTTTCAATATTTGACTGAGAGATCGTTACTTTTGCCCCTCAGTATACTTCAACAACACGAAACTATTATACATCCTATCAATTTTAATTCGATATAGCATTAACATTACCAAAACTTTTCCTAAATCATTTCAATATCTCTCGAGTTAATGCTTCCAAAAGAAGGTTTTTATATAAGAACAACCGATATCTCATTAGTGACATCATTGCATTCTGTTCTTTGGCTGTAGTTACAGTGACATGATAGGAAGCTAATGTACAGGCCGGAGGTGAAGCACTTCGGAAACACAACCTGGGATGCTACATGGCGTGTCCCTTCTAAATGTAGTGCTAGACAATACTACCTTTTTATCCAATGGTTTCATGACCGACAAGTAATTCAATATCTTAAAACGTTCACATCTTGATTGAATAATGAGAGTCAGGACAATGAACCATTACGTCAGTTCCGTACTGATGGAGTAATGACCGGAAAGGCATGCCTTATGTTGTCATTAGTTGTATACACCTGTGCAGGTGGGTCTAAATGTGGATGGTTTTGCGGCTATATTTCATGGAACCGTTGAATGAAATACGATATGGAGAGTGCATTTACATCGCAGCTCTGATGTATGTTCGGATCCGATATATATTCCGAATTTTTTACATCTCCGGAGCACTTGAAACAACATGAGGCGCAGTGTCTACAAAGACTGTTCTATTTCCTACAGTAGAACTAGTGGGACAGGGCGAAAAGTTGCACAGAGCTTGACTAGTCTAGCGGAGGCTACCAGGGAGGCGACTGACTGAGTTTTAGCAATATTCCAGCAACATCACGGCGGGGGACACCAGAAATGGGCTTCACACATTATACCCATGTGGGGATTCGAACCCGGGTCTTCGGCGTGACGAACGAAAGCTTTAACCATTGGGCTACCCCACCGCCCACAAGGGCGGCGAAGTATTGCTGACACTTGGGGAGTAGATAACTGGATTGACCGGTCATTTCGACCCTTAAAGTCCCTCGCTTGCCTTTTTGCTGTTTCATCTCTGTCCTACTCTTGGCATATATTATTTAATGACAGCAGGGAGTATTCAGTGAAAAGGCGTTATGGATACATTATAAATTTATTGGGAGTGAGTGAGTGAGTTCTTATTTAACGTCACATCGGCAATATTGCAGCCATATCGTGACGAGGACATATTTGACATTGAAGTGGAATATATGTATATTATAAAAACCTGTCGACAAAGGACAGTAAAACAACTAGAATATCACAATAAGAATTAAAACTAGCGTGGAAAGTTAAAACTAATAGCACTATTGGGGCAATACAATATAAAAACAGGCTATAGTTCGCCAACAACTGAAGGTAGATCACCACACTAGGGACCATGGGGACTTACAGTACCTTTGCTACCTACATGGACCCTAGTTGGATTTACATCATCCCTTCAGAAGCCGGCGATTGTAGTCAAAATTTAGCCACAATTAAAATCACAAACATTCTACGCTTAAAATCCTGGTAAGTTTGAAATTTTGGGACTTACGTACCCTCTCAGGAGGACAATAATTTTACAGTACTTTAACCCCCCTTGAGGGTACAGCCACTAACAATCTGAGTTATTAATTTAAACTTCCAATCATAAAATATTTATCTATTTACAAATCAGTTAACAAATCTAATTCCTTTAAAAATGCAATAATTAAATGAGAACTTATATTATTAAAAAGATCCTTTATAGTTCGTGATTTGAAATAGTTATCCCTTGTGATGGAATATTCAACACAGTCAAGCAAGATATGCTTGACCGTGATTCTTTCATCACAAGGGGTGCAAAACGGAGGATCTTCGCCTTTTAACAAATATTCATGAGTATATTTTGTATGGCTAATACGACATCGTCGCATGATGACCTCTTCAAATCTGGACTCACAACCCAAATAGGTGTAACCGATATAGGGTTTTATTTCATGTAATTTGTTAATACCTACTTGGGTGTCCCATCGAAATCTCCTGAATTTAGTGACTTGTGTGCTGATACAACTACCTCAGTTGAGCAGATTTAGAGATTGCTGTCTCTTGGCACATTCTATCAAGAGAGAGCCAGATCGAAGACAAGTGATATTGTTCACAGTGCCACATATTCCTTCCACAGCTTTAGACACTACGAAAGGGTTTATCTTGATCATTAGTGGGAGACCGTGAACACCTTCAACAACCAGAAGTCGTGGCCATGAATCTACAACTGAAACAAAACTTTCATCATCAGAGGATGAAACAGTATCTGCATCAATATGTCTTTTTTTTATTTTTGTAACGAGAACCAGTGGTTTGTGGGGAAGCCATGATGAAAGAAAACATATTCGACATCCCTGCTCCCCACCCGCCATCGAGTGTCAACAAGGACAGTGTTACAGTGGAAACCGACTGCAGACACTAGGGCTACAGAGATGTTATACTCAAGCAATATCAACACAGGTAGCAAATGAGGTCAAACAAAAGAAAAGTCAGGTTGGTTCTGCCCTGTACAGTTATTTGATGACAATTTGAACCTGGAGGTCAATAATGCCATATTTAGTGGGAGAAATAGTATAAAAGAAAAATGATTGAGATTAGCATTAGCCGTTGAGGCATAGTCGTATTACTATAGATTTTGTTGGATGATTGGCAAAAGCGCGTTACTGTCAGTCACGTTATAAAAAAATAAACTCAATATTATCGCGTGAATCCGTCTCTATAACCAAGACAATCCCAGATTCAATGAGGCATTCTCCTAACCAACATCCATCTCATTCCCATGGTCCCTGGTATGGTGATCTACTTTCAGGTGTTGGCGATCTCATGTTCAGTGTAGTCACTAACTTTTCAAGCCATGAGTTGTCATCCTGAAACACAAACGATGTCCATGTCGGCGTGCAAATAGTACCACGTGTGGCACAAAAATGTTGTCACGTAAGTACTGTCGGAATACCATGTTCATGTGGTCTGCCTGTCGCCTTCATTCCACCCCTCGCCATAACTGAGTCACAATAATCTTCTGTACAATCAAAATTAGGTGACAAACACCAGACATGCCAATATGTCCTTGGTGGTGGTGGAATTGGGTTTAACGTCGTGCTTGAGAATATTTCGCTCATACGACGACGTGCATGCGTGTGTATGTGTATGTGCGGCTGCTTGTACTAGCCCAGACTGAAGCTGGTTTTATAGTGCTAGCCCACTGAGATACCATGCCGCAGTGAAGCATGAATACCCCACTCAGACACATTATACTGACTCCGAGCCGACCAGTCCTTGTTGTACCCATTAATGCCGAGCGCCAGGCAGGGACCAAAAAGTACCATATTTTAAGGTATTTTGGTATGACGCGGTCGGGGATCGAACTCGCGACCTTCCTCACTCCGGGCGGACAATATGTCCTTGGTGTTAAATGATATCGAAATCAGGATAAAGGACTTTGTATATTGTTACTTGACTTATTAGTTCTAAATTTACATGTCAATGTTTTTGTGCCGCCAATTCTACAACTTTTACAAATTCTACAACGGTGTCTGACACTATGACGCCAATGCCTGTTATAATGACTTCGTTATACCAGACTCGGATACTGAGACGAAACGTAACACACTCTGACGCTAATGTTTACCCTGTCACCCCGATGTCTGACACGATGACTCATTTCGGTGGATGTAGAGAGCTGCTTGAGCACCTATGGCATTATGGTGATGAGGGCAATGCAGCTGCTTCTCGGTTAAGCATTGCAGATGAAAGAAGACGTCAGCATGGGTCATAATGGAATAAAGCGACAACGTGCAGCTGTTGGACTTAACAACTGCATGGTTAAACCTCTGAGGAGTAAGCTACAAAGCTCATGACAGCAATATAGAGTCTTTGAGAAAAATGTTCCGTTTTGGGGTTTGTTTTGCTGTTTAAAATGGCGCACTCCGCAATATTCCACCTATATGACAGCGGACTGCAAATAACTGAGTTCGTGCCAGACAATCCAGTGATGAACAACACACGCATCGATCTACGCAATAACAAAAGCAACTGAATGTGGTTAAAACTGCATTGTAGAAAGCATTGAAGACAATCCGATTGACTCTGGGTCTTGGCCAATTACGATGTCTGGGAACGGTAATTTGTTCCGTGTTTGAGTTTGTATGGAACCGTGAGGCAGTGTTCGCTTCTGGTGTCTGCAACTTCAGAAATATTCAGTTCATATCCAATGACGTGTAGTCTGTAGTGTTGACAGCTAATATGTGTATTCCGTCTTCTGATTTGAGTCCGCAATATAGCTGGAATATTGCTGTCAGGTGTAAAACTAAACTCACTCACTAACTCTGAGTGAGTGAGTTTAGTTTTACACCGGACAGCAATATTCCAGCTATATGGCTATAGATCACCAACATCTGAAGGTAGATCACCATACTAGGGTCCATGGGAACTTAAAGTACTTCTGCTACCTGCATGGGCCCTAGCTGGATTTATATCATCCCTTCAGCAGCTGGCGATTAAGGTCAAATTTAGCAAAAATTAAAATGACAGGAATGCTACATTTAAAACAGCTGGTGAATTTAAATTTCCATTGAAAGTTTTGGGACTTACGTACCCTCTCAGGAGGACAATAATTTACGCTACTTCAATCCCCTTTGAGGGTACAGCCACTAACAATCTCAATTACTAATCTAAACTACCAATAATAAAATATGTATCTATTTACAAATCAGTTAACAAGTCTATTTTTTTTTAAAAGGCAATAATTAAATGAGAACCTATATTACTAAAGAGATCCTTCATAGTTTGTGATTTGAAATAGATATCCCTTGTGATGGAATATTCAACACAGTCAAGCAGAACCCTGATTTCAGTGAGTAAGCGAGGTTAGTTTTACGCCGCTTTTAGTAATATTCCGGCAATATCACGGCAGGAGACACAAGTGTATTTCACACATTGTGCCCATGTGAGGAGTCGAACCCGGATCGTCGGCATGACGAGCGAACGCGTTAACCACTAAACTAAACTACCCAACCGCTCCCTTCTAATTTGACCATGTAGATGTAGTCAAACATGTATGTGTCGAAGTTGAAGAGAGCAACGACACAACTTCGAGTTATCCGAGGTTCGACACAACCACAAATTCAAGACCAAGCTTTCACTTCTTTAGTATTCGACGACTGTACTTTTCATCACGACTCGCTGTCAACCAAACGAAATGAGTGAGTTCCTAAGGTCACCTAAGAGTGTATAATTTAATCGCTCACATTTATCATTGCCATGGGTTTTTTTATCCAACCGATAAACTTACTCATCATAAGATGAGGCTGTTTCTGTGCATAGCTTTCTACAAAATAAGCGTTGCCTAACAAGGTGATACACAGGGCTCCATTTAAACATTTAGAAGGAGATTTAATTTCAGTCGAGCCTTGGATACATTTAAGCTCCATTATATTGATCACAACAGTATGGAGATTTATGTACCTTTGTAAATGTAATTTCCCACATCTGTTGACATAGATTTTCTTATTGTTAGCTTCACACTCCAGTGGACTCAACTTTGTAGACATTATTTTATCAGAGAGGAACCGTGATCTACGCTGTGCAGACCGTCCTGGCCAGATAGACGAACTTAATACACGCTGTGAAGATTAGACAAACGAACTTATTCTCGCTGAACAGCCGAATATGGGGGATGCTGCCATTAGCAATCATCAAGAAGCATTTCAAGAAGTTGATACTGGGATTCGTTGTTATATGCACTTTTTTGCGTCTATTGAGGATGGACTATTTGAAGATTGAAGAACAGTTTGCTAAATGGACAGTACAAAGATCGTTTGTATATGGTGCAAAGGGAACCGATGGTAAGGAGATGTGTAATTTCATGGTGACCATGGAACAATTGTTTATTTTTAATCAATTTAGTTCTGAAAGTCGCATTGACTTGTGAATACTAGAAATATGACCTTTGGGTAATGGTTCAGAGAATACAGTTCTATTCTTTTAAAGGGGAGGTGGGGTAACCCAGTGGATAACCCAGTGGCGTTCGGTCGTCACGCCAAAGACATGGGTTCGATTCTTCACATGGGTACGATGTGTGAAGCCCATTTCTGGTGTCTCTCGCCATGATATTGCTGGCATATTGCTAAAAGCGGCGTGTGGAAGAATACTATTGATAGAATGGGTTTTCTGAATGAAATAATTAAGGAGGAGAGCATCATACCTGCACTCGTTGGTTTCCATAAAATGCCGTACACACACACCCCTCGTGGGAATTTGTTAATCTGTTTAATTCCAAGATGCGAGACCATTCGACACCACCATGAATATTAATTTGAATATTGTGTTTGTAATGACAGGTTCACCAAAGCTGTTATCGTGTAAGATCTGCATCAAATTGGGCTTTCCTTTCAGGTGAACAACTTACTTGGTGTCTATTAGTTTGAGCCGGGTACAGCCAGCGAATCTTTTCAGTACATACCTCATATCGTCACTTTCTTATAGTGATTCATTAATATATGCTATTGTTAAAGTTGAAATTGTACAACTGACTGCTTTTAGCAGTAATTTGTCTTTAATGTGAAAATGCTTTGTCGATTTGGTTAACTCTGACCCTGCTGCCTTTATTGTTGTTCCGAGCGGTGGGGTAGCTCGTGGTTAAAGCGTTGGCTCGTCACGCCGAAGACCCGGGTTCGAATCCCCCCCACATGGGTACAATGTGTGAAGCCCATTTCTCGTGTCCCCCGCCGTGATGTTGCTGGAATATTGCTTAAAGCGGCGTAAAACCAAACTCAGTCAGTCATTGTTGCTCCCTTTATCTACAACTGGTATTACAGTCTATATTGAACGTGGTGTTCCTTAAACAGGTGGGGCGGTGGGGTAGCCTAGTGGTTAAAGTGTTCGCTCGTCACGCCGAAGACTCGGGTTCGATTCCCCACATGGATACAATGTGTGCAGCCCATTCCTGGTGTTCAGCGCAGTGACATTGCTGGAATATTGCTAAAAGCGGCGTAAAACCAAACTCAATCAGTCGCCTCCCTGGTAGCCTCCGCTAGACTAGTCAAGCTCTGTGCAACTGTTCGCCCTGTCCCACTAGTTCTACTGTAGGAAATAGAACAGTCTCACATACTCACTTATTCACTAAAATTAGAAATTGTCTGATAGCTATATATATTAAATTTCCATGAAACGCGGTCTCGCCCTGATGCAGCCGGAACGCCGTTAATCATGAATATGTGTTTATATCGATTATGTGTATGGTTAAAAAGTAAGAAATGATGAACAATTTACTGAAAATCACTCCCTATCCGTATATCAATATAAATTTATCAAACATGTCCAAACGTGCTGAGAATCAATAACAAGGATTAAGTCAGTCTTACAATATAGTAAACACGTGGACACATGTCGCACATGTGCGTTAGATTTAAAATAAATTACTTGTGGATATCTTCCTATTCTGATTTTATCTTTCTGGTATTGAGTCTGTCCAACTACATTAGTTACATTGTACCTTGCAAAAACAAAATATCAGACAATTAAAGTTTCAAGATGGACAATGCAACAACGTGTGTCGCATTTTGAATAAATTAATAAAAATTGCAACGAAAAGCAAACAAATGTGTTCGTGTTGCAAGACAGTGAGGGTATTTTAAATTTCCCGGTCCAAACCTTACCCTTGCAATTGGGGCAGGAATGAGAAATGCTTCTCGGCTGAAAAAGATACTTCCTCCAGCAGTGTAAACATAGAGCAAGAGAATTACCAGTCTCAAGACACATATTGGTCAACATCATTCAGTCGAAAAAACACACGCCGTCCTATCTTATCCTTTGAAACGCATCTTACAACTTCATTTCATTGCATTTCAGATTATGGAGAAGATGTCAAAGCGTCACGCGTACGCATTTCTTGCTGGGTTATGACAAACCCCAACAATCTCGAAAAACGATCGAGATATATCCAAATGACGTGGGGTAAACGCTGTGACAAGTTGGTGTTCATCAGCTCGGAAACAAACACGACCTTCCCAGCGGTCGGACAAACAGTATCGGAAGGCAGAAATCATCTAACCGAAAAGACTCTCGGTGGATACCATTATGTTTATGAACATCACTTCGACGACTGCGATTGGTTCTTTAAAGCTGATGACGATACTTACCTCATCGCAGAAAACCTTCGTCTCTTCCTGGCCGATTTCGATACAAACAAGCCCATATATTTCGGCCATCACTTTAAGACTATTATCAAACAAGGATACTCTAGTGGCGGATCCGGATTGGTCGTCAGCAAAGAGGCCCTCAGAAGGTTTGGCCAACAAGGACATAATCCCAAGATATGTCGTCAAACTGGCACTGCAGGTGATGCCGCGTTTGGTCAATGCATGCAGTCCCTTGGAATACCCATTGGAAACTCGACTGATTCCAAAGGTCGAAGTCGCTTCCATTGTTTGTCCCCGGCAGCTCACATAAATGGGAGATATCCCAAATGGTATTATGCTTATGACGCAAATGGAGCTAAAAAGGTAATTATTGCAACTGTTTCACCGCCGTAATGCAAAATTATGCTTGAATAGTCTCATTAGTAATTGGAAAAGATAGGTATCTCGCTGCATTTGACAATAATTGAGGGCCTAGATTTTCGAAGCTCTCTTAGCGCTAAGATAGTCGTACGTTAATGTTAATGTATGGCACTTGCGACTAAGAGAGCTTCGAAAATCTAGGCCCAGGTTTACAGAAGCAAATATACATTAGGAATAAGCTGATCACACGATTGTTTCCGCGTATAGGTTTGGCAGTCCTATTTAGTAATGCATGCATGCAAGTGCCTAGAACAATGGAATTACTATAAACAAATTACTATTGCAAACTTATTGTGATTGGCGATATATAGCTTGTTTTTATATTTATCGTCTTCAATACATAAAATGTGTTAAATTTAATTACTAGTTTTAAATTTATATCTGTGATAGTCTCGTTGTTTTACTGTACTTCGTTGACGGGTGTTTATATTCTACTCTTTATCTTTATGAATCTATATATAACTTGATTTAGTCACGATATGGCTGAATTATTGGTGATGTGACTCACTCAATCACTGTTATTGCAAACTAGCGTATAATACTCAACACCATAACCGATATAACAAGAGTCATCAGAAGGTGACAAATCACCCCGGCCCCACAACTGTGAAAGATCAAATCATCTGACAGTCACTTGAAGTCCAACTTGACGTTTTTGTCCAAATCGTTTCCATTGAAATAATGTAAAATATATGTGTCAAAAATCTGCAAATAGCAACAGGAACCACTTCAATATCTGTTTGATATATCTACCAAGTTTTGTTCAAAGATATTGAACGGTTTTCGAGTTGTGCTCCGGAAACAAAGCCCACTCATCCCCTAATGAGACTAAGTCCAAATCGTTTCCATAGCAACCAAGAAAAACAAAAAAAGGCCGAAAATCTGTAAATATCAAAAGGCACCATTTAGGTTCTGTTTGATATATCTACCAATGTTTGTAGAAAAATATTGAACGGGTTTTGAGTTATGCTCCGGAAACAAAATGATTACGGACGGACGGGCGGAGGAGGCGTCGACTGTATCCCCCCGCATAACATGATTATGTGTCTGCGTGTGTCTGTGTCAATACTTTGAATTTCTCTGAGTATTTGTGGCCTTGGCGTTATTGCGAGCGGTCATCTCTCAGTTCCATATCTTCTTCAGCATTTCCACTGTTATTATTTCAGGGTATTAGCAGCATGAGTGACTACCCCATCTCATTCCATTACGTGGCCGGCAGCAAAATGTTGGAGCTGGAGTATCTGATTTACCACACTCGTGTACATCTACTTGGCAGAGGTCATTCTCTACCAAACATAAAATAGATAAGCGCTTTAGATTGTGTTCTGTTCATCTGTGGAACCGGAAGCTCCTAGAGTCTTTGTCTTCAAGCCTGGACGTTGTCACTATTCCATGAGTAAAACGTACTTTCATGTAGAACATATTATCAGAGGATGTTATTATCGGGAAGGATTTTTGCATACTTTGTACCGTGCATATACGAAATAATGTACCTAAATACAATTCTCGTACCTCAGAGTGCATGGTGAAGGACATCATTCAAATGATTAGGGGCAAATGACACAAAACAAAAGTCTCAAGTTAAGGATATTTTAAATATATGGTCCCTAGTCTAGTGATCTACCTTCAGTTGCTGGTGATATATAGCCTGTTTTTTATATTGTATTGTCCTGAATTGTGTTAAATGTTTTAATGCTTACAAGCTAGTTTTAACTTTCTATCTGTGATAGCCTAGTTATTTTACTGTCCTTTGTTGACAGATTTTACAAATTAACTTTTCTTTATTATTACAGAATATATGTATAATGTTGTAGTCACGATATGGCTGCAATATGTGACTCTAAATCTTAACTCACTCACTCACTCTTTTAAATAGAATTTGTCCTCATTTAAGTATTGTCTTTTTAAAAGAAATAGAATTAATTGATAAATTTTGACGTACTTTTATATATAGGTAGCATATTTTTATGGACTTTGATATACATGTAGTGTGTGGCTATATCCTTGATGGGGGTTAAAGTACGGTAAAACTATTGTAACCCTGAGAGGGTGTATAAACCCACAAAATTAAAAGAATATTCATATATATGAACGTTTCTAATCGTAATACATTTTCTATTCATGGCTAACATTGCAACAATCGCCAGCCGCTAAAGGTATGGTTTAAATCCTGCTGGGGAACCGTGCAGAAAGCAGGAACCAGAAGTCCCCGCGGTCCTTAGTATGGTGGCCTAACTTCAGTTGCTAGAGATTTCTAGCCCACTTTTATATTGTGTTTGTCAATGAATAGCTTAATATTTTAATAATATATGTGATGTGGTTTTACTGTATTTCCAAGGGAGCGTTTTATAAAGTATTCTGAGATATATTCTTAATTTATGAATTTCTGTCGTCATGATATCGCTGGAATATTGCCGATGTGTCGTGGAATTTTAACTCACTCACTCACTATTGCTTTTATTCGTGAGTTGTTTTCAAAATGTAGGAGTGGTTGGTATAGGCATGGCAAATGAATGCAACAAGAGTGAGTAAGTATTGTTTTACGCCGCTTTTTGGGAATATTCACGCAATATCGTGGCGGGGTACACCGGAAATAGGGTTCACACAATGTGCCAACGTGGGGAATCGAACTCGGGTCTTCACCGTGATGAGCCAACGCTTTAACCACTAGGCTACCCGACCGCCCCCATGAATGTAACATGAGACGCTTTGCTGCCGTCTTGATTCTTCTTAAGCAGGGATAAATATTGGAGACATCAGAAGAATAAATATAATTACGACTATGAGTAAAATGCTTTATTTGGAATCTAAACAAGGCACATGGACATAAACAATACCTGTACATTGACATAAACGATACATGTACATGGGAATACACGATACCGGCTACTGGTTTTTACATCCCTTTCAGTACATAACTGTATAAACACGATAATATAACAAAAGACTCACATCTGTACATGTAACTGATGTATCCACACATATTCATGTGTTATCCATACATATTCATGTGTTATCCATGCATATTCATGGATTATCCACACATATTCATGGGTTATCCATACATATTCATGTGTTATCCATACATTTCATGGATTATCCACACATATTCATGGGTTATCCATACATATTCCTGTGTTATCCATACATATTCCTGTTATCCATACCTATTCATGTGTTATCCACATATATTCATGGGTTATCCATGCATATTCCTGTGTTATCCATACATATATATGTGTTATCCATACATATTCATGGGTTATCCATACATATTCATGGGTTTTCCACACATATTCATGGGTAATCCATACATATTCATGTGTTATCCATACATATTCATGTGTGGGTGACAGTAAAATGCTAAAAACGTAAAGGCAAAATACTGGATGTTTTATCAATATTTTCTTAAAAGAGGTCGAAGTCAAACAATTCATCTAAAAGAAACAACGAATAAGGATTCTGGAAGATGTTCTGTTGAGTTTGTTGATAATCTGTAAAAAAAATCAAACATTTTTAGTTAGTGTTTTGCTTTAAATATTAGCCATTGTTTCAGTTTGGCATGAAGGAGAACTGGGTGTCAATAGTTTCATCGCAAGTGATAATTGTTTATCGTACCACTGATGACATTATAGACATGCTCTCTTCACTTTCACTCACTCAACCAAACATGCACCTGTTATAACCGACACACAAACTATCCATCTTTCAATGCTGCTTACAGTGAGTGAGTTGAGTTTTACGCCGCACTCAGCTATATGGCGGCGGTCTGTAAATAATCGAGTCTGGACCAGACAATCCAGTGATCAACAGCATGAGCATCGATCTGCCCAACTGGGAACCGATGACCTGTGTCAACCATGTCAGCGAGCCGGACCACCCGATCCTGACCACCCGATCTCGTTAGTCGCCTCTTACGACAAGCATGGGTTACTGAAGATCAATATTCTAACCCGGGCCTTCACGGGTTTGTTGCTTACAGATCTCTCCTACTCCGTTCATGATAAATGCTTTATTAACTTTATTAGTTTTTGAACATGTGCATATTTACAAATTTGAGTTGGTGAGTGAGTTTGTAAGCCACATCGGCAGTTTTCCAGCTATATCGTGACTACAACAATAGGCATAGTACATAAAGTCACATTACCTGTCAACGAGGGACAGTATAACAAATATAGATATAAAATACGTATGTCAATCTGAACAATTTTAACAATTGAAGACAATACAACATAAAAACAGGCTATAGATCGCCAACAACTGAAAGTAGATCACCATACCAGGGACCATGGGGACTTTCAGTACTTTGGCTTCTTGCATAGACCCTAGCTGAATTATACCATCCCTTCAGTCGTTAGCGATTGTGCTATTCATATATTTACTAAACTATTTATCAAGACTTTTCAAGTAATTCGATTTCGTTTAAAAAGAAAAAATTATTTGATGATAATTGACCTGGTTAAAAAGATCCTTCGCTGTTTTTACACTGAAATATTGATCCCTTGTGATAGGCTTAACAAGCCAGAAACAATTGTGAGTTCGATTATCAGTTCGCCCCGTTATATTTCTAGGCTTGTCAGCATCATATAACTCCTCTCTTGGGTCTCAACAAACTGGTAAACAGCCAGGACATGAGGTTCAATACACCCTTCACGTGAGGTGAAATTGGGTTTTACGTCGTGCTTGAGAATATTTCGCTCATATGACGACGTGCATGCGTGTGTATGTGTACGTGCGGCTGCTTGTACTAGCCCAGACTTAAGCTGGTTTTATAGTGCTAGCCCACTGAGATACCATGCCGCAGTGAAGCATGAATACCCCACTCAGACACAGTATACTGACTCCGAGCCGACCAGTCCTTGTTGTACCCATTAATGCCGAGCGCCAGACAGGGACCAACAAGTACCATATATTAACGTCTTTTGGTATGACGCGGTCGGGGATCGAACCCGCGACCTTCCGCTCTCCGGGCGGACGCTCTAACCACTACACCACGGAGGCGGTCGCTCTAACCACTACACCACGGAGGCGGTCGCCGTTATAAAGTTTTAATAACTGTTAAGGTATGGTGTTAGGCTATTACCTTGCTGACTCAAATTAAGGACATGAAATACTTACAGTAGCAACTTCTATTCAGATATGTGGCGACGAAGGGTGGATAACATGCGCAGTAGTATGATCCGGGTGTGTTCACGCATGCGCCGGTCGGGCCGTACTGGCCGTTTGTGGGGTTGTAGGCGTAGCCGCAGATGTACGGGTTGATGGCACACTCGTCTACATCTGCAGCGAAACGAAACGGACACTGGGATATAAAAGTATGTTCACTTGTCTTAGAATGAGTGAGTTAGTTTTACGCCGCTTTTACCAATATTCCAGCAATATTACGGCGGGGGACGCCAGAAATGGGCTTCATCCACTGTACCCATGTCGGGAATCGAACCCGGGTCTTCGAGACGAGCGAACGCTTTAACCACTAGGCTCCCCACCAGCCGTCAAATCTGAGACCTCTGACCGAAACACTGCGTTCATGTACATCAAATTTGCTTAGACGGTTGGCCAAACCTTCAACCATAAGCGTAAACCATAAAACTTGGAAACCGTTTAAGGACATTTCACAACATTACGCTTCAGACAAGTCTGCTGTGAAGATTAT